TCATCTCTATTATTATTATACAAAAATTTTGATCCGCCGATTACAATATCATAAATTTATTATTATTTATAATAATTGATTAGAAATAATAATTTCTAAATAAAATGCAAGGTTTTTATTCTTATTTGTTTTTATATCAAATAATAATTTTATAAAAAGTATTATGATGATAAAATGCGAATTGTGCACTTGTTTCTGAACGTGTTAACGATAGCTTTTGCAATGCAGGAATACGCGTGGAAAGACAAATCCGCAGATGAGGAGACTCGGAAATATTCGGACAAATTACGGGACGTATGTGCTCTTGCCGAAAGACTGGGGTGTTCTTTCGGACAACTAGCCATCGCGTGGTCTTTAAAGAATGAAAGTGTTCAGTGCCTTCTGCTCGGTGCATCCAATATAGATCAATTGTATGAGAGTCTCCAAAGCTTACAGGTAAACAAGCTATTTGTCTGCTTTCGCGGAAGACTTCTATATATATTTTAGATAATATCGTCTAAGATCAACTGATGAATCGAAAGCAATTTTCTCACTAATGTTAGATATCGTAACATACATAAACCGTTTCGCTTATCGATTTACTGATCTGATTGTTCTGGTTTGTTTTTATAAATGATATAAATAAAAATGCAAATTTAATACTTGATTAATCGCGTTTTTGCCCGTTTTTTAATACATAATACATTATTATATATAACAATTTGATTTATTACATCTGAGAACATTTTATCGAACATGAACTTCTTTGATTTTTATTTATTATATAATAATTTTTAACATTTATTATATAATCTCTGATGGAAAAAATTCTCATATCTCAATATTCTTAAGAATTTTTCATATTTTTAATTTATAAAGATTTCTGAAAAATATTTTAAGCTTCTTCAAATTTTATTCGGAAATTATAGAACGAAAAATCTTAGAACATTTTAGAATTTATACATACATATACATAAAGAATTAAAAAAGACGCTGATTGTAGATTTTCTCAGCATTTTTAAAAAGTTACAAAATTATATCAGTTTCTAATCCGTGTAAAGTATGTGTGATTTAGCGCGGCTAATAAAGAATCGAACTCAATGACAAATAGTAAAAAGAATACGTAATTTTCAGCTTATCCCAAAATTAAACGCGAGCATAATGAGCGAGATCGAGAGGATTCTTGATAACAAACCGTCCCGACCGCCGATGATATCCACTCTGGCACTTAGATGACAATCGATGTGCCCCCACGGCAGCGGTGGGGGTTCTGTGGAAGAGGCGGGCAGTCCAAAGAGCGAGGGCGGCAACAGTCAGGATCAGGAGCAGACCAAGGAAGTAAACAACAAGTTGCCATTCTGTGAGATACAGTGAAGTCACACGCGGACGGTAAACCGTCTCGTTGCTCCACACGCTATTGATACCCAACATCGGGTGGCCAAGGACTGACACGGATGCGACTCGTTTTCGCGTTCTCCGCTTTACATTTGGTCGCGACCCGGTGCGGGTCGAGTGCACATATGACCACGAGTCGACACGACAATATTTACCAATTACGAAGGAACCCATCTCCGGAGACTCGTCGTCTCTCGACGGCAACGAGAACATTCATTCTCACGGGGGTATCCCGAACATCACGCACGATTTGTATCTCTCGTACGTCACACTCGTGGACACTCGTAGATATGTAGGTGATAAACGCGACGTGTATCATCGCGAGAGTCCATCTGTCTCCGTTGACAGAATCGCGTGTTTGCACGCTTTCAAAAGCAATCTCTGGGAACGGTTACATTTGTCCCATCCAGCCGCCGTAAATTTTTCTCTAATCTCCCTCTGTCAGGAGACTCTATCCCGTCGGAGAGATTTTTATTCGCGATTCCAAGTGTTCATTATTCTTAGCGTTAATAATCCCATTTGCTACACTCGTAGGGAGTAACCAGGAATTCAGCAGTGTCACGAGTGTCCACCAGATTACAACGTTCGTTCTGCCATTCATTGGTCGAGTAAAAGCGATTTGCGGACAATTAATTAATTCGGACGGTATAGGACACACACACACACACACACGTCGATTATCATCTAAAAAAAATTTCGTCGTAGGTCATAAGAACTTTATCAAGGATATTATCTAAAACGCGATGCACCTCATCCCATCAACTTCGACGTCCAATATACATATTTCTTTCTACCGATGTCGCGCTTGATTCTTCGAATTTTATCCACCAATTTATCTTCTCTTTCTCCGTTTCTCTTTCTCCATCCTCTCTTCTTTCTAGTTTGTTCAAGGATCGAGAGACGATTGCGTTGTATAAGAAACGCGTGATGCGCAATATGCGCTAATAAAATACATCGCCACGGATTTTTCGCTTTTACAAAGAATACGCGCCTGTTTTCAGAGTATAGGCATTGTACTAAGGGATGAATGCGATTGAAAAATAAATTACATAAAGAGTAATTGCGGAATAATTGAGCTGACGAGTCCAATAATCGAGTCCAGTCGGTAGAACAAGTTGAGACGATTCGAAGAGCTGGAGCGACGCTTTAATTCAAAGTCTGATTCAGTCTCATTAACTCGCCGGACTGATTCTTTAGACGTAATCAATTTCTTAACGGCTACGTTCGAAATATTTTCACTAAATATTCGCATTAACTCGGTCAAACCGAATAAAAATGTAAATTCTATACTAATACACGATAGATTCACCGACGAATCTTTAAAGATCCGGACTGTGTACAAAAGATCTCTTTACTTGAATAGATGACCGTTTCTATCAAGAGAACGTCTGTTTGTTTACCGCACACGATAGCTTTTCGCTTCGCTTTGCCATAAAGTGAGATGCAGCACATTTCAGCAAGTGAAGAAGGTGATTTATCTTGAAAAGAAACGCAAGATTTGTAATATTCGACAATTATATCTTTGTGCGAAGTATCGTTGCCCCTGAGCAATATTCTTTCAATTTATCTTACCGTTCCCTCATGCCAAAGTGACAAAGTCATCAGCAGATGCGATTCGTGCCAATCAAGCATCGTTTCGCCGATCATTCGGAACATTGCTCAAGTGTACGATCGTGAGAAGATTTCTCGCTCCCGTAAAAATGATAATCTGTATATTGATATATGTATATATATATATATAAACATAAAAGAGTATTACACATTTTGGACATGTATATATACTGGAAAAAGTCTTGTACCAGTTGGAATTTGGGTAAATTCAATCAAAGAGGTGCAAATGAGACGCTTATAGTTAAATCCGTCAAACATTCTAGTTGAAATAGTTAAAAATTTAATTGCCATAATCAAAATTCTAATATATATAATCAAAATTTATTTTATTTGTACTTTTTGTTGCTAAAGCCAGAATATTCTTCTCAGAATTTGCGATGAACTTTTTCAATTAGTGCGAGAAAAAGCCTCGACAAAATCTTTTTGCGATATTACGCGTACTCCAACATCTAATTTCATTTGTATCAAAATATTGTCAATCGTGTATTTTTAATTGAGCTCTTTTAAATGAAGCATTCATTTTTACGCGTATGCGAGAATTTTCTTACACATACCGTATCGATGTTATTGACATTCCACTTAATCTTGTCACCTCACTGATAAACGCTAAGTCTCTTGGAAATGTACAATGTTGCATATGCTCACAGAAAAGGAAACAAAAAAAGAGGGATAATGGAAGCTGCCAGTACATACACTTTTATCGCGCCTGATGAAGTTTTTTCAAACCAGACTTTCGTCCGATGCGTGACATAGGTACAGCGAAGTAGGTTCCAGTGTAAATATTTGGGGATGATTAAAAGGAGAGCATGTCACGATATAAATCAAAAAAAATAAAAAAATATCGCGCACCAAGTATTGAACAAATTATAGTATTCGCGTAGTAATATATGCTTACAAACCGACACATTGCGATCTCATCGACAGGAAGGCATCGAACGTTAATTGTTATCGAGTCTCGGCAACATTCGTTGGTTTTTTACATTTCTGAATAGATAAAACTCTTGTTTAGAGGATCCATTTTCAATGATCGTGATATATATAGAGACCATCTTTCTGACCCTTACAAAAATTTAATACTGGCCAATTTAATATTGGCTAATTTAATATTGAAAGACAGTAATTAATTACTTATTATACATTTGTATGGAACGGTTTATTTTATTTGTCAATAATGAACAATGAGCGACTTAAACCTTTCGATTGTTACTGTCATAATCTTGACAATATATCGCGCATTTGCTACAACAACGACACAATTAAAAAAACAATGTTTTCCAGAAAGTGGATTTGAAAGTGGTTTTGAATCATTGAAACTTTGTAATATTAATTTTAAAATTCAATTTTGGTGCAATAACTGATTGTAAAAGATTAAAAATATGTCCTCTTAAAGTGTGTTCTTAAAATTCTTGGAGTCTCCTAAACAAAAGTTTTATATTTGAATTGTCAGTCGCAATGCAAATTACCTATGTACAATGCGTACAAGGATTGCTCGTGTTACCAATGATGAAACTATCGTTGTACGTAGCCTGCGATCGAGAGAAATATTGAGAGCTATCAGGGATAATGAAAACATGGCATTAGTACCTGAAGCGTGCCTGAAAAACGTGCAGAGAGAAAACAGCGAGAGATCGATGACTGCCTATCGGCATCACTATATAAAGTCTTATCTCCACGATGCTAGAAATTGATCCAAGATCTGGACGGAGTAAGATAATTGATCATGTATGCGAATTGTTCAGATGTAATTTATTAATTCTTTCTCAGAGATCTCGTATCGATTTCTATCATTGTGAATACAAAGGTTAAGAATAAAATAATGCGACGATAAGCAAATGAAATGCAATGTTTATCTAATCATAAAAATATGATTTTAATATGCCATCCGCTTTTATAAGGTAAACCTCCGTATTACACTTTACAGCCGCTAAAATCCGTCCTAATATTGCTGATCGGGAAGGATGCATCTACAAAATTATGTTTAATTTGCAATTATTGCTTTGTAATTGTTTCATTTCACTATTACAGTTATATCAGGTGGCTGATAATATTATGATATTGTACTGCAGATCGAATGAATTCAAGTTAAAATCAAAAAATAGGCAGAACAATTTTTTTTTTCCTAACAATTACTTGATAGTTTTATGTACGTGCTCAATTACTTATGATTATTTTAATGCACATCCGTACTTTAACTTTTGCGTGCACTTTCTATATTTGTATTTTTATCGTCACTTTATGTTATATTTATTTCATGTGCATTTTTAATAAAGATTAACATTGCGACGAGATATGTTTGGATTAATGTCAAGATCTCTTGAATGGAAATAATCGCGATAAAAATAGACTTCATGATAATCCAGATAAGACAGAATTAAGATCGAGGCGATACTGCCAAAGACCAGTTTCAATTGTTCGCTTCCTAAGATAAACAAAACTTCTTTCTCATTATGCCTCTCAACAAGGATAATTCTTACCAATTAGATCGATATTTTATCGATTCAATTTTTACGATTTAAATTACTGATTTAATTAGTATTATCCATGTAAATGAAAGAGATGAGTGTGCTAACGGTCAATGTTAATTCGAAAGAACAAGAACGTGATATAAGCGGATCGTATTTCTTACGATTCTTTCGAGAATATCGATTTTTACACACTCTTAACTTTTAACCGTAATGCGAATTTATTCGATAATAGAAGAAACACGCGCAATGTCACCGCGGCCTATTGCGCTCTCTTCAACGCCTACTTTACTTACCGCCTATTTACATGTAAATAGGTACACGTAGATCTCGTTGACCGCCGCATAGGCAAGTCTGTCGTATCTTTATTATTACGATAAGAGAAAGGGAGAGTACAGCGATGCCATAGACAAGCAATATCCGAATCGGCAAAGTAAATAAATAAATAAATAAAATATTTCCGACGCGCAGAGTCCTTTCTAATATACCGAAATGAAATAAAGTCGTCATGATATTTTATCGTCCGACTATTTTCCACGTTTTAAGAGCATGAAGTGACCAGAATGCCTATCCAAGGAGTATCCTGCTGATGCCCATTGCTAAGAGGATATCCTAATGGTCATTGGGCATATCCATCACGGTCACTAGCGACATCCTGGATGACCAAGGGGACCAATGCTGCGATGGGCATCTCGCTATTATCGCTGAGCGCGTCTTCGGTGATCCTAGGGACCATTGTTGTGATAATTGGCGTTTATCCATTGTCACTGTGTGTGTGAGCATGTTACTATCGATGATTCGAAAGCGTTTTAATGAAAGAAGAGAAAGGAAGAAAGTGTGGGAGGGAAAAGAAGATGGTCCAAAATTGTATTTCGTGCTCATAAAATGCGGAAAAAAATTGACATCAAAGAGGAAATGTCATGCCATCCGCTTGTAAATATAAAACGGCTGATTCAGGTCGATTTATACTGTAGTAATATTAAGCTTGGAAATGGGTAATCTTTATATAATTCTCGAGATCTGCATCTCGTTTACAAATTTTTTCAAACGGCAATCCTCTTCAGAGTCATGTATTTTGGCGTGTGAGCATTGCATTTCTTTTTTTATAATAATATTACCGTACACACACACGCACACACACGCACACACACACACACACACACACATTAACAATTCACTTTTTAGCAATAATTGAGCAATATAAAAAAATACGGACTCTTGTTAGATTGCCATTGGTTGGCCCATCTCCAAAAATAGGCATTTTAAATACACTTTTGCGTCTTTTCATGATTTACAGTATTATATATAACATCTAGTGTATAAATTATATATACATATAATAATTTTTATAATAAAAGTTGTAAAAACTTCCTCTCTCAACCAGAATATCAGGACATTAAATTTTTCCTTGTTAGAAACTGACAAATATTGAGTATATGAAAATATTATAACATAACGGTAGCAAATTAATTTTCAAAGTTAAATGCAAAATTTAGTATATAGGGCAATTATTAAAAAATATAAAATAAAAAATGGAATATGAACTTCTTTTATTTTTTTCTTTTTTATCTTTAATAAACTGCTTTTATTATACAAACTGTATATTTACAAGTTATATTTATTTCAATACAAAAAACGATCTTAATCAATAGTTTTATATTGAAAGATTTTATTTTATTTCGTAGAAATAAGATATAAATAAAACGTAAAAATTAAAACAAAGAAAATACTTAAAAAGCAACTTTATAATTAAAAAATTACAAATAATAACCGTAGAAAAGAACGTACTTTCTTATGTTATTAAGAACTTTTGTCGTCCTATTACTTTGGTTTCCTGAACACATTTTAAAAGTTAATAAAAGCAATTTTCACTTAATCATGTCTTTCTCATGAACAGAAAAATATCATCTTATACTGTCACATAAAATGGCAGATTTAAGGAGGACACATAGGTAAGTTCACCGAATAGAAGACGTTTAGTTCGAACGATAATGCAAATACCAAGAATATCACATATAATATCAAGCAAATAATACCTACTTTCTTATTTAAGCGATATTTGCACAATGCGGTGACTAGATAAAAGGCGATTACACACGCAACGATTGAAAGCACACTAAAACGCAGGGCACCCGAAACAATGTCGATGTCTTTCTGGGACATAAGGATCTTGATCATCCACGGTAAACCAAGGCACAGCAGAATATCGAGCGTATTCGCGCCTAATGTATTGCTCATAGCCATGTCTCCGTTACCTGAGAAAAAATAGAAAATCGATCCGGATAATATCTTATCTTACAGATTAATTAAGTCCCCCTAAACACAAAGTAACAGTAACGTCACAATGTATAATAGGTTAGTTCCTACAGTAATGTGACTCAACTATTACGTAAATGCGTATCGTTAGATTACTGAGTTGTCCAGAAAATTCGTACAAATTTTCAAATAAAACATTTTTTTTAGTTAAAAATAATTTTAATCTAATAATATATGCGTTTTGTTCTACAATATTTTTCTATCTTTCAAATAATTTATTGTATAATAATTCCTCTCTCGTAGAAGTCCTGGATTTTTTCTTTATTTACTAGATCCATACAGACTTTCCGAACAAATCAATTTGTATCGTTGAGTGGAAAATTATATAATATTGCTATAATGTTACTGTTGTTTTATGTTTGTGGATACGTTCATTACTTTGACTCAAGCTCCTTCGCATAAAAAAGGAATTATTTGCTTGACACAAGTTTCCTTCAGTTGCATCACGTTAATTGTTGTCACCAGTACAAGTCATTTGG